CTTTTAACGTTAATAGATAAACAATTAATTTTGTATGATATTTTAGAAAGCATAGCAACTAATTTTACGTCCAATTTAATTAATTCAGAATTAATTTTTTTTAATAATTTTATAACAAATGCCTTCAGTTTAACTTCAAAACTAAAATGAGTAATTAAACTCTAAAATGGTAATTAATTTCAATTTTAATTGGTCTCAAATATTAAAATGATTAAAATAATAAAAAAATTGTGTTTCCTTTCTTTGAAGTGATGAACAGAATAGGGAATAATACATCATAAATAAATATGGGTGCTGGCATTGACGTGTGAGTCTCTTTTGGAGAGACTGTTCCTGGCTTATAGTCAGCTTTTGCTGCAAGGAGAACGATTTATTCAAAACTTGAGCAGTAAAAAGCATAGATATCATCTTATCAGCGGAGGGAAAGGGAGAGTTTGCTGCAAGACAGCAGCAGCCACATTTGAATAACGCTCTCTGAAATGACGTGCCTCTCTCGCTTTTCCACACGTAACCACATTTTTTACCTTTCCACCACTCGTTAGCTAAGGATGAAAGACGGAATACAAATAAGCAGAAGAGTTCTGCTGGGCTCAAAAAAAGAACTTGGCTCCGCGCATATCAAGGTGAAAAGGCCGATTCAAACGAAAGTGCAAGGTCAAGGTGTATTAGCTCTATTTGCATAATATCTCACAATTCAAACGGCAATATCGTGCCAAGAAAAAGTGGAACGCATTTGATGGCTCCGGAGCGTACTTTTCAATTCAACTATTTTGTGTATAAATCGCTCAATTCAATTTTGTTGCAGTTATTTTCAGGGTAAAATACTGATCGCCGTAATAGCTGCTTTTAGAGAAGATGAGCCCCTGGCTGTGAATTACAGGTGCATTATTAATGAACAGGCTGGCGGTGAGCGAATAGCGTTGGGTGGAGGGCGAAAATCAGAGCTGATGCTCTGCCGATCAAGTAATTACCAATCAGAGGCTAATCGGGCTGTGTAACGGTGTGGGCCTTCCAAACATGCAAAGCGACTCGGCCAATTTCCCATGCATAATTATCATCAACGCTGCAAGGGAAGTTCCATTCCTGCCCCTTCTGTGAATGGTATTAACATATTCAGTAGTGCTGAGAATTATTCAACCGATTTCAATAAACTGATAAAAAGCAGCACGTCCCTTTTTCTTCCACCTGATTATTTATTGCCTCAGCTCCTAATCGCGCTACCGGGAACCGGAAAAATTCTTTTTTAGATAGAAAATGAAACAAAAATATTGAAAAAGGGGTAGTTCTCAACGACTGTCGTGTTGAACTTATGCTAGATTAATTGCATTTTTATTGAAATGTGTCGTAAAATCCCTTCAATCCATCTGAAAATATTGACATTTACTTCGCAAAAGAAATAAATCTATTTCGACCCCTTTCCCTTATCGGTTTTTAAATAGGACCGTCGCTCATGAGAAAAACGCAACTTTCAGTTGGCGTGCTTTGTTCATTTGGCATGCAACATTGTAATTATGCTTGGTTTAATAAGCCAGATGTGTATATAAAAATCAATACTCGTGCAAAGAGCGAGTTGATTAACTGGGAAATCAATAAAAGCTTATTATTGCTGTGTAACATGCACGAACGCTGCTCGGGACATGTGTTGTTTTGATGGAATTTTAGCGCTTCGTCAGAGAAGGGCATGCAAAAAAGTATTAGCAACACTTTTCCATCAAAAAGTTCTCCCTCCGCCTTTGACACAATAACACAGCAGGGAAATTTGAGCATGCGAGCGAACCGTTGACACAATAACTCCATTTTTCCACGGTGCGCCTATATTGACTTGCAAATCACATGCACGTGGAAAAGCAAACATATGGTGTGAGATGGCCAGAGAGCAAATAATAATAATTTTCCGGAGCACCAATCGGTGCTAATCCCTTGTATCTGGGTTAATGGATGATGTCATTAAACACAAACGCCGGGGCAAGTCATTACAGACAATAAGTCAAAACGCGGCGCACGTCCCTCATTGTTGGGCCATTAAGAAAAGCCGCCGCTCGCACGTGAGATTCATACCTGTATAATTCTGATCGTTATATGCACATGAAATTTCTGACCCCAGGGCACACCATCACTCAAAATCTTTTTGCAAGTTGCAAAATCTGAAATGAGTATACGACTTGTCTTTACGAATTTTTAAACGTGTGCCTGACCTGGATGCTACAATATGAGATAGCTATGAACTAATATGTATAATAAACTGCTCATTTTTCAACAAAACAGGACACAAACACAGTGTATTCCAAATTAATGCTTTGCAATTTGGTTTATATTTTAGATTTGAGGTAGATAATTTTTAATTGCAAAGGTGAACCAAACTTGCTTATTAGATTTAAATATATTCGTCATCCTTTGATAAAAAGAGATACATTCGGTATGAACGAAAATAAAATTTTACAGCCCCTCTTGATGATCAACTCTTTTCTGCAATACTCATTTAGCCAAAATTAAATTTTTGCGTGTGAGACTGTTTTTACAAATGTTCTGAATTCTGAATGAGAAAAACCATTCTGGTCAAACCACACACTCTCCAATGAGTTTTTTTTTTCATATCATATTGAACTTTAGACGGGCCAAACAGTCGCGGGTAACCCTCTCTCACGCGTCCGTGCTCTCTCTCACTTTTAATATTGTACGCCATTATTATTACTATTCAGCTCAGCACGCAACAATTATCGACCTCGGGGCGCATGGAGCTTTTAACTTGCGCTGTCTATGAATAGGAGCGCGAACGCAGATGAGATAACGAAAAAAACACATGCAGAGCGTTAATACACAGAATAAATTTATCCAGACGGCCAGTCGTTCTCTCTCAACGAAGCAGTTTCCTTTTTTTCCCTCGGTAGACCACTGCATCAATTATCGTTACTCTCAACTGCGGCGGTCTAAAGAGCTGAAAGTTTACACGCAATTACTGAAATTGCCAAAATTCATTCCATATTTTATTTTCCTAACACTATTATATTTAAAAATTTTACTCAAGCTGAAAGTCATGTAATTGCGTGCTATTTTATTGAATTTTGTAAAAGCTTTTTGCTCCGTTACATAACTGAAGGTTCGTTAAGAAATCCTTTGACGTCTCCACTAAAATAACAATTTCCATTGACTTATCCTAAATTCATTATGGAAGGCAAGAAATTTCATAAGGAGTCCAACAACAATATTGAATTTTTTTATGCACATCTGCGCCTCTCCTCCTTTGAAGTCTTGAGTGGATAGGAACCGCATATTATAATGTGCGCTACTAAAATTTAAATTATAAAATATAATCGCGTGCTGCGATGCCGGGCCTCCTTATAAGGCCGCCCGCACTTTTGCTTCAGTCTGCATCTAATTACTGCGGGGACGTGTGTACTTTGTGTTAAGCAGCTCTATTATTTTCAGCAAACGAAAAAGCTTGCCCATGCCACGTGATCAACAATGAGACTCGGGATGTTTCTTTTTTTTGTTATTGCTGTGGCTCTCTAAATGAGAAAACAAATAATTGAAAATAATAAATGAACTACGCCAGGCATATTACAAATTTGTATTTAATTTTGCCTAAAAGGAAAGCTATTAAAACTGGAGTATGAAAATTTGTATAAAATAAAATTCGAAAGATACGACTGTAAATTAATTTATGTTCAATCAAATCTACCAACACAATTTGTTTATTGGTTTAAGTACATCTGCGCACTGTCTGAATTTAATTTAAACTGCTACTAGATTATATCATGCCCCTGATTTATTTTTTAAATTGAATTGCAAGCCGCGACGTCTCTCATTGGAAGTAGTAAAATTCAATGGGCTGAAGTTTTCAATTGCGGAGACTTTAAAACAGCAGTAAAATTTGATTCGACTTGTGCCCTACTTGCAGCCGTTGTGCTTAAAGCAGTAAAATATTTTAGGGGCCGAAGTTATATAAGATATTTAAATGTGTTACATAACGTTATTTACGTTATTTTCCGTGTGAGTTGACAAATAATTTTACCGTTTCGGTTCCGCAACAAGGGAAAATCTCGTTACCCGCATTACACCTTGCTAAAGCCGATTTCGTGTGTGCGTCTGGCAAGCATGAGGGGCTGCAAACAAAGGGGTTGCCTTGGAAGCAGCTTTTGCTGTTCAACATGTATTGTGTGCCTGCTGCACGAATTGCATAATTTCAGCCCTAATTAATTGTTGGTCCGCTCCGCCCTTGAAATATTTAATTGCAGGCATAATATACTTTTTCCTGCCTACGAAAATGTTTTCGCAGTAGGATGTGTTTAAGAGGAAAAAAATTAATGAAGAGTGACTAGATTTTTAAGAGTTAGCGAGTAAGTTAACGATTAAATTGCGTGCTCATGAAGACCAAAAGCTCATTGCACTTAATCTTCAATCTTGACTACCAAGTTATAGGTTTCTTTTCTCGGTTTTTTTTTTTTTTTTTTTTTGCGGGATTTATGTATGTTACGTTTGGCTTATAGCTGATTGGAGCAAGCCAGTACTGGAAGCTAAATTACAAGTGTTGTTTGAGTTTTAGCGTCCTTAAAAGTCACTCACTTTCTTATGACTCAACTCAATTTATGCTGCGGAATTTGAAAGCTATAGCCATCTAACGTGACTGGCTGGAAATTCGCAAATTTGACTGGAAACTTGATTAAATTTACAGTTTTAAAATATGTAGAAGGAATAAAAATATTTCTCCATTCAAATTCAACTTTAAAAGAAATAATATAAAAAAATCTCATTAAAATTAATTCAAATTTTTGCCAGATTTTGATTTTGAAGTGAAATAAACAAATGTCTGCAATACAGGATAACAATACAAAATTATATCAAAATTATGTAGATAAAAATTAAAACCAAACCGTAATAAGCTGATGGCAAAATGAAAAAAAAGACATCAAAGACATGAGAATTGTATTGATTGCCAACCAAGCAAGCTGCTTTACCGCCCACTGCTGTTCAAAGCACAACAAGCCAATCAGAATTCTCAGAAACTTCGTTCGCTCTTCCATCCCATTGGTTACTTCTAAAGCCGGCTCGGCTTGTGTTTACATCAACAAGCAAGCGAGATGACTGAAATGAAATTTTCTTCTGAAATTGTTTAAAATCGGTAATATTTACTTGCGCCTTTACATGATTACCATGACAATTTCATGTTTTATGTTTTTCGCTCTTCTAATACACATTATATATGTCTCAAAATTCATGTATCGCACTATTTTCTTGACCTGCAAAAAGGACCGCTCTTCTCACACGCTTATTAATTGTTACTTTTCTTGCACCTCTTCTCTTTTTCTCGTTAGAAAATCGTTGACTGACGTGCTGTGAATGGCAGGCCCTCAAAACATGTACCCAGGAGGAGGGGGTGGGTACCCCAACCCCCAGCAGCAAGGCGGGATGAGACAGCCTTTCCCAGGGGCCGGAGGGAACGTCGGAATGATGAACCCAGCCCAACAAGGTGAATGATCGATCTCCCTCTTGCTCTGTGTTTAAAATTTTGTTGAATTAATAAATTCGTGCAAAATTTTAAAGGAATGATGGGACAACAAGGTTTCGGACAGATGGGACCCCAGATGGGAAATCAAATGGGCAACCCAATGGGCGGACAAATGCCAGGTCAAATGCCTAACCAAATGCAGCAAATGCAACAGCAGATGGTAATGCAGCCTCAAATGCAGCCTCAGATCCAACCCCAAATGCAGCAAGGAATGCAAATGCAGCAGCAACAGGCTATGCAGCAACAAATGCAGCAAATGCAGGTATATGAATTTAAAAATAACAATAATACTTTCTCAAGATCGATTTTTTTTTATAATATTTTATTTATTATTTTTCTTTTCAAGATGAACCAACAAGGAATGGGTGCTGTCGGAGGAGTGATGCCCCCACAACAAATGGCTCCTCAACCTCCACAGCAGCCTATGCAACCAGTTCAACCACCCCAGCAGCAACAGCAGGGTGTCACCACCCCTCAGCAAACGCCGCCCCAGCCTCCTACGCCTGCTCAGCAATCCCAGCCTAAAGACTTAAACACAGCCATGCTTTGCAGGTTGGGCCAAGAGACGGTGCATGACATCGTCTCCAGGACTCAAGAGTTATTCTCAGTATTGAAATCTATTCAAGTGAGTTAATATCAATTGCTGTAGTACCAAACATTTCCTTTCCCTACACAGTTTTATCTCGGATATGAATTGGCTGAATTGGGATAAAAATTAGTCTTACTGTTCATGTAAACATTTCTTAAATACGTTGACTCTTTCGGGGTTAACACTTAAAAGGAATTGATATAGGTAAATTTACTGCAGTTTGCTGATTAAATTTGTTTTCTTCCAGTCATGTTTTTTCCATATTAAAGTATACAATTCATAGATGTTATGCTACCATGGATCTGTGGATACAAATTGATTATATTTTTTCTTCTGACATTAGCCTCCTAATGGCACTCCTCAAGGTCAGTCCTCAAGCAATGACAAGAAAAATAAGGCACAGGAACAATTGAAATCACTTAGGATCCTATTTAAAAGACTTCGCGTGATTTACGACAAGTGCAATGACAACTGTCAAGGAATGGAATATACACATATAGAGGTATTTATTTGCTGTGGAAACTTCGAAATTTAATATTTTTTATTTATTTTTTTTGTAGAGTCTCATTCCATTGAAAGATGAGTGGGATATGAAGTCTGATGAAAAGAAAACTTCGGAAGTTTACAAGCAGAGCTGCGAGGAGCAAAATGAAATTGTGGAGGTGAGATTGTCCGATTCATTTAACAGCTTTCCATTAATTGGCCTTTACTTCTCTTAACAGCAAGTTATGCTTAAAAACAAACAACTTAAAGAAGTTATTGACAACATGAGGAAAATAATTTGGGAGATCAATACTATGCTTGCAATGAGACGCTCGTGAATGATTGCAATCTTTCTTATTTATATTTGAAGACACCACACTTTTTAATGTTCCATTGTTTGTTTTAAATGCAGAGAATTTAAACTATCACTGTATACTAAAAAAAAATTGTTCTCTAAAAAAGCAAAAACTCTTTAAGGTGAAAAGCTTCTTTTTTAATTAAACTTGAAACTTTCTACTATAATTTATAGGAAAAACAAGATAAGTAGCAAAAAGAATAAGAAACTTAATAAAGCTGAGGAATACTGTTCATGATAATTCTTCTGAAAGTTAATGAACAATTTCATTGACTTAAAATATATGAGCCTGTGATCTGTGTTTTTCACCTGCTTTGTGCAAAAATAGTAAAAATCATAACCCTTTAGCGCGTACAACTTTTCGACCAATGGCATGAATCAGTTCATCCCCTCTCTTACAATCGCCATCTTTTTGAATAGCTTTGGCCAAAGCAAACACCAACATAACAAAAATGCTGATAAAAGAATTTTAAAAATAATTACGAAATCATGGTATCTTGAATTGGATTGAAGCTATAAAATTTAATGATTGAGAATATATAAATTATTTACAAATGAGTTCATTTGAAATAAGTCTAAATATGTGGGATCTATTCTTGTCAATTCGTTCTCATCATGTTGCCAGCTTGTTCATGCGGCGTCCGGCGTCTCCTGCGCTTCCTTTCTGGGCTTGCCTGGTTTGCAGTGCAAGTGCAAACCAGTAAATTATTCAATTTTAACTACAAAATAGTCTTTAACTCAGATCTCTTTGCAAGAAATACTTAAAGAAACGTAAGTTATTTAAATTATATATCAAAGAATTGGACTCTCCCTTAATTTTTGTGTCAAAATGTATCGCGAAATCCGGCTTGATGTCTCACCGCAAATTGTTGCATGAGCACCTTTTTATTTTGCCTTTTCGCCAGTATTTACTCGTTCAAGGTGGAAAAATTAACGTTCATTCCGTTATTTTGTTTATATTCTGCCGTACGCAGTGAATTTTAACGTGAAAAAACTCAATCTCGGCCGCTGAAATAGATTCAAAACAAACGGCGCACGTGATGCGGGTTAGTAAACACATACACGTTACTGGGGGGTTCTCCCTCGCACCTGCCTTATCTCGGCTCTTTATCTCCGATTATCCCCACAAATGCAACACTGCTATCTACCAGACTGTTTAATTTTAAAAATTGTATACTTTTTGACGGCAAATTTTCAGCGTAGTATGATTGTTTTGGCGTGAGTGCATGCACGTGCTCAATTCTCAAGACAGCCAGAATAGGCGGTAAACTTGACATGTCATGAGCGTGGAAAATGGTGCGCCGATATGCACGACCGTGACTCGAACCTTCTAGTCAGGTTGTTAATCTAGCCGCCTTGCGTTCTACCTTTCATGGGGTGATTGCACTCATACAAGGCAGAAAAAAAATTGCATTTGTAATTTCAATATTCAACCTGGGTGTAATGGTAGGCAGTCAGTTGTCGACGTGAATTAAGCTTTTGTGGCTTCCAAGTGTTCCGTTGAACAATCCATGCCTTGTGTTTAGTTTGATATACAATAATTGATATTATTTAATAAGGCATATTGACCTTTTTACACTCATTTACTTTTATATCAACAATGAAATAAATAAAAAAAAGGCCTTAAAATGTTTGACGGAAATTGAATTTTGATTTTTTATTGTGTAATTGTTTAAAATTATGAGGAATAATTGGCAATTCTGGACACCCCATTTTATAATTAAAGACCCCTACCTCTTATATAATGGAAAAGTGCCAGAATTTCAAATAGTATCGTCCTATTTAGAAAATTAGAATAATAATAAAATATTTTTTTCAGAATTAAAGCAAGCATGGCAGACAACCAGGACTTTGAAATGGGCAACGGGGAGGAATACCAGGAGGGAGGAGACGACAACGGTGATATGAATGGAGGCGGCGGCGGTGGACCGGACAGCGGCAGCGCTGAGGCCCCAGGAAAGGACGATGACCGCAAACTGTTTGTTGGCGGTCTCAGCTGGGAAACAACGGATAAGGAGCTGCGCGAACACTTCACCAAGTTTGGTGAGATCGAGAGCATCAACGTCAAGACTGACCCAACAACCGGACGCTCGAGGGGTTTTGCCTTCCTTGTTTTTAAGTCTGCTGACACACTCGACAAAATCCTAAACGCCGGTGACCACGTCATCAACAACAAAAAGATCGACCCCAAGAAGGCCAAGGCGAGGCACGGAAAGATTTTTGTCGGCGGTCTTGTTCCGGAACTTACAGACGATGACATCAAAACTTTCTTCTCAAATTTCGGAAACATCGTCGAGGTGGAAATGCCATTCGACAAGCAAAAGAACCAGCGCAAGGGCTTCTGTTTCATTACTTTCGATTCGGAGCAGGTAGTCAAGGAGCTCCTGAAGACTCCCAAGCAGACCATCAATGGAAAGGAGGTCGACGTTAAGAAGGTAAAAAATCTGAGCTTTCCCATTTGCTCATTTATATCAGGCTGGTTCAATTAACACAAAACTTTTAATTAATATTCTTTTTTCTCACTAACTCCAAATTAATTTCATTTCTTACACTTTTATAAGGATTTACCAAACATTACATATCACAGTGATATTTTTGAAACTTTTAAATTGCGTCTGAAAGAAAAAACTATAATTGCACCAAGCCTGAAAATTTAAAAATTTTCAATCGAGGTGACCTTTTTAAGCCACTCTTTAATGTGAGTTCATTTGTCTATATTGGTGTTGAAGGCCACTCCCCGACCCGAGAACATGCCCATGCGTGGCGGCCGTGGAGCTAGAGGAGGCCGAGGACGTGGAGGTGCCATGCGAGGCGGCCGTGGCCGCGGAGGAGGCGGCGGTGGATACGGTGGCTACGGTGACTACTACGGCCAAGGCTATGGCGACTACTACGGAGGTGGAGGCGGCGGTGACTATGGCGGCTACGGTGGTGGATATGGAGGATACGACTACTCAGGATATGGCAATTACGGAGGATATGGAGGCGGCAACCCTGGAGGCTACGGAGCTGGCGGCAAGCAGAGAGGCGGCAGAGGCGGCGCCCGCGGAGGCCAGAGACATCAGCCATACTAATCGAGACGAAACAAGCACGTCCATTCCAGGGCCTTGGCTACACAATTGAGTGTTGTGTATTATTAAATTTATTTAATTAGCGAGTAATGATTTAAACACTAATGTCGTCGACAGTTCTGTCCTCTTTTCGGTTCTCTGTTTTAAGATAACACGTACATACGAGATGAAATAATATAGTCATCGATCATGACCTTGCTGAAATTAGAGCTCCTGCCTGCCTATCGAGAACTCGCAGCGAATTATTGAGACATTCACACGCATAACACTCACACAATCATCATCGTCATGCATCATTCCATAGATGGTTCTGAGATTTGAATGGAAAATGACGCCCCCTCTGTTTTGTACCTCCGATTTTCGTATATGCGGGGAATGTATTCATCCACTGTAATTTTAAATAAAATGCTTGCTCATAAGAATTTACGTTTTTTCCTTCAATTAATTCCAGTTAGCAACGACCTTTACAATCTGCTACAAAATATGAAATTGCAACAGTTTAAATCACTTTATTTCCTTAATATTTTTCTTTTTGCAAAGAACCATGAATAAGTACATTATAACCATGTTATAATTTTGGTACTACAACTGCATGACTGTGTAAAAAGAGCTTCATGGGTAAATAGATGAAACAAATTTTTAAGTCCACGAAAATTTTGCATGAAAAGCTAGGTTAATAAAAAAGGAGAAAGTGGAACGATCAAACCAAAAACTAAACAATGAAAGTAATACTTTTCTTGAAATTAGCAAAAAAAGCGCCTAAAAATTTTGTTTTGATACTCCATCATTTTTCTGATTGGTTGAGAATGTTGAGATTATTTAAAAATGGATGATCGGAACCGCGTAACGATTGGCCAAAAGAAATCAACAACGGAAACAGAAGTGGGTGGGACCATAGCACCGCGCTGTCCGCGCCACCGACCACAAGCTAGCAGGTTGTTTTGAGTTCCCATGCCGTCTCGAGATCAAGCGCTTTGCGCGCATTGAAATAATTTTCGATAATTTTTGTCACATTTTCAACTTAAATTCTTTACCCACATAGATGGAAGCCGCGTAGCCAGAAGAAGGACGCTGGAGTTCCGTTGGCCAGTATCGGATAAACAAGCGAGACCACAAAATTAAGGTTTGAATTTATATTATGTAGAACTTGTGTTTGCTCTCCACCATTAAAATATATTTTTTTTTTTTACTTTCATGCGAATAAATTGAATGCAGACATTTTGCAGAACAGTCACCATGGCATTTGTGAAGGAAGAGAATGTGATTGATGAATTGGCTTGTGCGCAGAATAGCAATATGAACTCGCAGGAGGCCTCTGCAACTCAGCCATGCAGTCAGTCTAGCAGCGATCTGGTGCATTCACCGCCACCAATCCCTGAAGGAGCATGGGGATTCCTCACTAGCCACAACTATGACCTGCCTAAGATTTGTATGCATTTATTTCTCATAATTATTCCTGTTTTTAATGTGGCTATATATTTTTAGACTATCTAACAAAAAAATCTCACACCTTTGGACGCTCACCAAAGGAAGACTTCACTTTTAATCTTGAGCGTCACTGCCTTCCTCTAGATGTCTACAGTAACATCAGCAAACATCACTTTGTTATTCACCGTAACCAAAATGAAAGTAATTTCATACTAGAGGACAGGAGTTTGAATGGAACATTCATTAATAAACAAAGGGTTGGTGGCAATGATAGTGGTGAAAAGGACAGAAATCCAACACGCAGTCGCATGGCTATTTTGCAAGACCATGACAAAATTTCAATCTGCGATGCAAGTGGCCCATGTCAGTATTATTCTTTCCCTTCCAAATTGTCATACTTAATTTGATTTAAATTACATGTCTTATAGTTTTCATCTTTAGTTTGCTGGGAAATGTAAATGAGCTTGAAAAGGGTTTACCACAGGATTTGCTGCAGAAGTACAGGATCACCAACTTGCTTGGTACTGGAGGAAGTGCCACAGTTTATTTGGCTTATGAACATGTGCGTCTATAGTCTTTTTGATTCATATTTATTTTAATTTGTATCTCCGAAAATAATCATACAGGTAACCTGCCAACCATTTGCCGTCAAAAGGATTGACAAAGACTTCAAAACGATGGGGATGAATTCGGTTTCCTACATTCAGACTGAGATCAAAATCTTGAAATCTCTTGCTCATGTAATTCCAACATCAATTTATTTTACTCGCTTTTAATTCTAAATTATAGCCAAACATTGTGAGAGTACAAGACGTTATTGACGTGGAGCATCAGACCTTCATCGTCATGGAGTACATGAAAGGAGGCTCCTTGGCAAAAGTCTTGCAACAGAACAAGAGTGCTCCTTTGGAGGAAAAGTTGTGCCAAGTGTGGTTCTACCAGCTGCTGCTATCTTTAGAGTATCTTAATTCCAAGTCCATCATTCACAGAGACATCAAGGTATTTTATATGTTTCATACATACAGGACAAAAATAATTAAAATAATTGCTTATTTTATTAAAAGCTGGAGAACATTTTGGTTTCCCACAATTCTCGCGATAGTCCCATCAAATTAGCTGACTTTGGACTGTCAAAAATTGTCTCTCAGTCCAAGAAGGCTGTTACTTGCTGTGGTTCCTATGAGTATGTGGCTCCAGAGGTCATTAACAGTGAAAGACTTTTGGGTTTTGCCCGACCCTACACATCCAAAGTAGATATTTGGTCCCTTGGTGTGACTCTATTTGTCTGGTAAAATTAATATCTCATCATATATTATTGTAGTTTCTAATAAACCATTTATTTAGCTTGAGTGGAAAGATGCCTTTCATCAGCAGTGATGCGGTGGAGCTGAAAAAGAAAATTTTGGCTGGGAATATTAACATGAAAGGCCCAGAATGGGCAAAAGTCAGTGAGCATGCTAAACAGATGGTCAGATGCATGCTGATGGTAAATCCTGAAGAACGGAAGAGTGCAGCTGAATTACTGGAAGCACCTTGGTTCCAGGTTTGTAGCTTAATTATTGATTTTTCATTGTTAATTCCTCTTTTCTATAGACTAAAAAATTTGATATTGTGAAGGAAGCTTGTAAAAGATTTTCCAAAACAAGTTCGAAGCCGCCACCTCTTTTCGATTCTCAAAATGAAGAACCTGCTCCTAAAGTTGCCCGCATTGATGATGCAGACCGCCATCTGACAGAAAAGATCTCCCCACAACCTTCAACCTCAAAATGCATTGCATTCTAAAAACGGTGCCTTGCAAACTTTTATCAGCAAAGGCTGTTACTGGCAGCCTTTAATGTAGTTTTTAAGAAACATTTTATACTTTTGATACAAAGTTTTATGAAACTCTTATATTATGATTACGAATTAATTTTGTAAACAGTTATTTTTATAAAAACAAAAGGTTAAAAAAAAATTTAATGTTAAATGCTCTGTAAGTCGACAATTATCAATTAAACAAATGTTCATTAGAGCAGTCCATGCTTAAGGAAAGCTAGACTTAAATTGAGTAGCGTCATATCACAGTAATGCATTACTGAATTTGTCAATGACAATATGAATAGGATAAACCACAAAACCTGAAAAATTATTAATTCTGTGCCCTTTAAGAAATAAATGACTATTATAGTGTATGATTATATCTTTAAATATATTATGCCCAATACATGTAATGTAACGAGATACCTTTCCAGTTGAAATTTTACATAATTGTGCTGTATTTGAAGTCTAAAATTAATATCTACAAATAATACAACCACGGCAATCTTTTAATTGCAATTTTCGTTATATGAAGATCTTTTTGAAAGCTTAGCAAACTTAAAGCTTGCTTTAGGTCAACATTACAACTAGATTGAACTATATTATATCAACTGATATCGACTAAGATAAAATCATTCCCTTTCCCCAAATCCAAATAATGCAACTGAACTGTTGAAATTAAATAATTAAAGAGACATTATTTACAAGAATACTGAAAAAGATTAAGAAGATGGTTGGCAAAATAAATTACTGTCCCTCCCCACTTAAGATTTCCACAAGACGTTTAGCTGAGGGTCGGCTCTCGGGATCTTTTTCTGTGCACAAGTAAAATATTCCCAGAATATCATTGTAGCTCGAATCAAATTCTATATCCGGAAGGTCAGGGCGTGTTCCTGTAATTAAAAAAAATATTGCATAAACGCATTAGGGAAATATACTAATTAATTGTACCCAGTCGATCATAAAATGAGTCTTCGTTGAAGCTTTTGCTGCTGTCTTCTATGTTGAAGTGAGGAGTGGTCAAAGCAAGCATTTCGTAGAGGACCAGGCCATAGGAGAAAATGTCTGCCTTGTCAGTGATAGCCTTCTTTTCAGAATCATTTTCTTCGTCCTCTTCAAAGAAGCCGACAAGCTCTGGAGCAGACCAAGGCTCTGAGCAATGATATTCCCCTTGCACAACACCACCCTCTCCAATGGGTAAGCTGGTGCCGAAGTCGCAAAGTTTTGCAATTTTGAAGTCGCCCTTGATTAAAATATTCTGGCTTTTAATGTCTCCGTGAACCAACTTGTGTTCCTCGTGCAGGTAGCATAGGGCCATGGCAATGTCGACTGCAGTCCTCATGATGATTTCTGCAGGAAAAGGTTTGTCGACCTCTTCTTTTCTTGTTTCAATCAAGTCCATTAAAGAGGAGCCTCCCTCTTCCATGGCCAAGCACAAACGCCCATCACTCTGCTTTTGCAATTTTCTGAATCCAACGATATTGGGGTGGTCAAGTTTTTGGAGAATGTTGGCCTCTTTTTCCAATCTGGCTGAAAGAATTGGGTTGGTTTTTGTCTTGCTCATCAACCGTTTAACAGCCCACGGAGAAGCTGCGACTCCTGATTCTGGCAATTTTCTGTTAATTTTGAAAACAGTGACACCTGAAATATTGAGTTTGTAAATTATTTTCTTGGCTAGTTTTTATTTACGTTTAAAGTTAAATAGGGTTAATAAATAACCAAAATAACCTGTGCCGAATCCAAGCTTTTCAAGCAGCGGAGATGGTGGAATTGGAATTGGAGTGCGCTCGAAGCTCGCATTTAGCTTGTCAGAGGTCCTCTTTCTAGTCGGCGTCTTGAAGTCTCCGCTATTATCCAATGTTTTGGATTTGGACACAATCGGGGTGTCTGCTGCACTCATTTTTTTCGTAAAATGTAAACTTATTGCAATTTGGTGCCCGTTGCACTGGTTTTGACAGGTGGAGACCCGGCGTCCGCTTTCTGTTTCGCGGTAAAAAGTTAAAACAATCTGATTGGCTGAAAACGTTAATCGATTGTCATGCCGAGAAAAATTGACGTCGTCCGTCGCCGTCAGAGGCGCTGCTTTTCAGCCAAATGTTTACTTATTTTTAGATATTGAACATGGCGGCACGAAGGAGGAGCTGCTCGATTAAGTTCTTAGTTTTAATTTGTGTTTTCGTCGGTTCGTGTTGCGGAGAATCGAGTGACATTGAACGTGATGTTTTAGCTTCGAACACACATCGGATAGACAGCTTGAACTTGTTACTCTACACGTTTTTACTTATTTTAACCGTCCTCACAGTTTGGCTGTTCAAGCACAGAAGACTCCGGTTCCTCCACGAAACTGGTCTTGCTGTCATTTATGGTGCGTATTTCTTAACTTGCGTTGCAATTTTTTCTATTTATATGCACACAACAGATCCAACCATAGATAAATAATGAACACACTAAAAAACACTAAAAATTTGAACTAATGAATTTGATGGTTTTAAACTCTACAATTTATTTTGTTTTAGAAAAAGTATATTAATTTCGTTTCACTGAATTAAACAAAGAGTTTGTGAAGATGTACGATATTTTTATAATAGTTTTAAATCGATCTTAGCATGTGAAAATCAATTGTCACTACCGTCTGGTATAAGTTCTGTATTAGGAGCTTAAATTAATTAATCCCTCTCTAACACACCTGCCATAATTATATTCATATTGAGCCCTGAAGTTATTAAATTTTGTCAGGATTAATTTATTATGGCGTCACAAATGACTTAGTTGTCAGTCTTCTGCGAAACAATCGAGATTGTAAAATACAGCAAATTTTAAAATTCTTGTCGCTTGCTTTGCTTGTTTGAAGTTTACCTCGGTTTATTATCAACAAGTGTGGAGTTCTTATCACTATGACTGCCGCGTCCGTTCTGACATGAGCCATAACATTATTTATTACTTCACCATTTTACTACCCACAAAAACAAATTTTAAGAAGAAACTTCCATGAAACTTTTAAACTTGAAAAAAAATCCATATTACTATATTATGGTATAAAATAATAATTTAACATTGTAAAAGGTACTGAAAGAGACTGGTTAGTAATTTAATAAAGGATTATTTTTACAGGACTCATCATTGGAGCCATCATTCGATATGCAGGTGGTGATGTTGGGAGACAACTTGTTCATGAGATGGTTGTCCCTGAAAAGGGTTCCACCTACAATGAGTCTTTACCACCTGATTTCCTCCTCATGCGATTCCCAACAAAAACCATCACTGGCAACAAGACATACTCCTACACCTTCAGGGGTGAAATTAAAGATATCGAAGAAAATGAAATTGACTTGAAGGTATTTTTTAATTTTATTACTATAATTTTTTATATAAATTTAAATTTTATGCATTTTCAGGCCACATTTGACCCTGAAATATTTTTCAACATCATTCTTCCACCAATTATTTTCCACGCTGGATACAGTTTGAAAAGAGTAATGTGAACTTAATCATGCTTAAGCTTAAAAATCACAGAACCAATTTTCAGCGCTACTTTTTCCGCAATCTGGGTGCTATTTTGACCTACGCCATGTTGGGAACCACAATCTCATCTTTCGTCATAGGGTAATTACTCATATACGTGACTGGCAATAAAAAATTAATATTGATTTTCTTTATTGTGTTTTCAAAGTGCTGTCATGTATGGTGCAGTCCAGCTGATGCCTAACAGCAGCAGTTTTACCTTCCTCGATCTCCTCTACTTTGGCTCAATTATTTCGGCCACTGACCCTGTTACGGTTTTGGCTATCTTCAACGATTTGCATGTTGACGTCAATCTGTATGCGCTTGTTTTTGGAGAAAGCGTCTTAAACGATGCCGTCGCCATGGTTCTCAGCGGGTAAATTCATATTTATGAAGGATTGTTGTAAGTTTTTTTAAACAATAAATTTAAATTTATAGTGCCATCCAAAATTATTCCAAGCACTCTGGATCTGGAAGCTTTGAATTTGAAGCTTTCCTTAAAGCAGTTGGAAACTTCTTCAGTTTCTTCTCCTTGTCCCTGTTCCTTGGCGCTGGGATGGGTTGTTTAACAGCACTGATATCCTTTTCAACTAGATTTATAATTATTCTGAAATTTTGAACTATGTTAATAAAAAAAATTTTCCTTGACTGCTACTCACTTGACCAAGTTTACCAGGGTCAGAGATTTCCCTTTGCTGGAATCCGCACTCTTCCTCCTGATGTCCTACAGTACCTTTTTGATGGCAGAAGCTACTGAGCTTACTGGTAATTTTCTGTTTGATTACCATAATACAAGAAATTTTTATGTTAAACATTGGCTTTTTCAGGAATTGTGGCTGTTCTTTTCTGTGGGATGTGTCAAGCCCATTACACGTACAATAACCTCTCGATCGACTCGAGACGGAGGACAAAAAAGCTGTTTGAGCTTTTGAACTTCCTGGCGGAAAACTTCATATTCTGCTACATTGGAGTTTCTATGTTTACCTTCCCCAAGCACCACTTTGACGTTGGATTCATAGTTGCAGCATTTGTAAGCTTTGAAATTTTTATTGTGTAGAAAAAAAAGACTAAAAAAAAAACTGTAGTTCTGTGCAGCGTTGGGCCGAGCAGCAAATATCTACCCCCTCTCGTTCCTCTTGAATCTTGGAAGAAAGCCAAAAATCTCGTACAACTTCCAGCACATGCTTTTCTTTTCTGGTATGTTTTTATTTTCAAATATAATATTCTGGTACAAAAAATTCCCACAATCTTTAGGCTTGCGAGGTGCAATGGCTTTTGCCTTAGCAATCAGAAACACGGTTTCTGAAGCACGCCAATCAATGCTGACTGCTACGTCACTCGTGGTGATTGTTACTGTGATTGTATTGGGAGGATCTACCATGCAACTGCTCACATGCTTCAACATTCCGTAAGCATCTCTAAATGAATTTCAAATCTGTTTTAATTTGCAATTCACACAGTGTCGGAGTGGAAGAAGAAGTTGAGATGCTGCAATATGGTGGAGTTCGAAGTGTAAGTTGAAAATTATTTATCCACTTAAATGTGCACTAGATTTTTCCTACTTGTAAAATATCTAAAATACCATAATTCAAACTCTTAAAAACAATGTTGCCGTTTATTGTGATGTTTCTAAACAAAGTTCACTCTATCCAGGTTTATGATTCAACAGAACAAAGTGCCCCTGGTGGGGTAAGTCGATATTGGCCGCATGTCAATGTTGTATTTTCAGGGCTTTTATTTTTGCTTTACGTGTCCTGTAATTTTTTTTATTAATTTTATGAAAACTATCGCCAGCTATGCACATTTATGACGCAGCTGATACAGATAGGAAATCACACGGCATGCAGATAGCAACATACCATAACAATTTTTCGATGTCTAGTTTTGCACTACTGCCCATCCAATATAAAGACACAAAATTTTAAGAACCATCTTCTTCCAGGCCTTGGGACAAAGTGCTGAGAGTGGACGTCGAGCAAGCAGCGCTACTGGCTCAAACAATTTAGAAGGGACCAAGCCTAACGAAAAAGCATGGATGGCTCGTATCTGGGCAGACTTTGATGTTAGGTACATGAAGCCCTTCCTTACCCACGCTAGACCAACGCTGCTAGATACTTTGCCTGTTTGCTGCAATCCCATTGCGAGAATCCTGACAACCACTGAGCAACTTACTCAGGTATTGAAAAATCGCATTGCCATAATTTTATCAAGCAAAGGAAAAACAAAAATTTATTTCAGGAACCTAGAACGACTCGGCACAGAAACGATTCAGACTCAGACATGTGTCTTGATGACAGTGAAATGGGCTATGGAACGAATGGTGGCGCTGAGCAGCGGCAGCCTCGGGTGAGTCTATTTTCTTAATAAATCTGAACTCGAGCACTCAAATTAATCTTTCATGTTGGAATGTTGCTGTCGTTTCTCAATAACGCATGCTGTTGGTGAACTTCATAATCTGTAGCCTTTAAGCAGCAAACAATACGCTGAGCTCTTTTCAATAGACTGATCTATAATTATGTAGTTTTTTTTAACATTAGACAATCTCCACTTCAGACATGAAAATAACGTAATTACTCAGTGCAATAACATTCAAATTAGCATCCTATTGTCTAATACATCATTGTAGAAAACTGCTTGTTGCTTTTTAAATATTTTTAATAGCTTTGACTCAGTCTTGTGTATTGCTTTCGGTGAAACGGAACTCAGGTGAAATAACCGTCCTTTCGTTTTCTGCTCGCATGCTGCGTCATCTACAGCCTGAGGATGCTCGAAGTCAGCTAAGCGTTGAGGGACAAAATTTCATGTAACTACATTTCTCATACAAATCTTCCAACAACCACAAAAAAAAACACCTTGGAAAATCTGTCCCCGTCTTCTGTAAAAATCAGGTGGTTTCTTCTATTCAAGCGCACCTCTGCATCAATGTAATTGTCCTCTGCTAAAACCTCTGGTGAGAATTTCCACTAACATCTTTGCATAAGTTAGACATTTTTCTCTCTGAATAAGAGACATGATCCAACCCAATTTTGCTTAAATAATTTGCTATTTAATTGTGTTCGTCAGCAGGGTGTGTCGTCCGTTGCTACGTCGGACAGCTGGCCTCAAGCTGTCCGTGTTAAGCTACCAGGCCCTCGAGGAGCTGAAATTTAATTTGCTTTCCGTCTGAGATGTGCTTTGTCTTTTATGATCAACTTTGTCATTGTCTAAGGTCTAAACCACAGAAGTCGGCCGCCACTTTAATTCAAGTGAGCCGTTTATCTGGCATTGCATTGTCGAGCATGGGGGGACTTGTGCATTCTTCCTCAATAAAAAGCCTTTTTGTTATTTTGTTATCAAGTAGCATGTTAAACTGCGTGGAATTTCGTACCAAATCGTTGTTCATATCTGATTGTGGCAGTTTCTAAAATAATGTTGATGACTATACTGCTATGATGGTTGTTGCCAAAAATGTGAAAATTCAAATTTTGATACTTGTTGAAAAAAAAATAGATTGTCGACTATGCTAAATTAATTATTCCTTATTAGAATTGAGTGTTTCTAAACTTCCTAGAAATGCTATTGTTAAAATTTAAACATGAAAGATCGCTGGTTTAATACTTAAATTCATATTGGCCTAACCGTAATCAATGATATCCTTTGTAAAATATTTATTTTTGACAAGCAATGGGCCATAGCCAGTTATGCTTATTTTAATCTTACAACAAAAGCTATATCATTGTATATAATATTATATTATCAAGTATCTTACATTATGGTGTTGATTTCTGTGATCAAAGATATCGAAAAAATTATATGTAATGCAAAATATAATATTCTGACTATTCTGTTAATTGTAAATTTTCCATAGAAATGGTTGATCCTATTTGATTGAGCAAGGAAATGCCTTTATACTTAATGGCAATGCTTCCTGTGTGAGTCACTGATTTAATTATTGAATTTTCACTGTTTTGATCAAAATTGGCACTTTTGATGTTTTACACCTGCAATTTATCACAAATTTTACTGCAACAAACATGGATCTCATTTAATATGCTCTATGCATATTTATTCTATATGGATGTTGGAAAAATAAATTAAGAAAATCAGTCAAATTTCAGATTTATGTTGTAAAAAAAACTATGTAGAAATTTGTTGTTACAATATTATTTTACGATTTGCGGTTGTTTGTGCTAATAGGCTTCAACAACCAAGGGTACATTTCTATTGTTTCTTTAGAAACCATGTCTGAAGAGAAAATAAAATATTGATGTTAAGAAATCAAACATTAAAACTTTTATGAAAACCCTATCTCCTTATAAAAGGAATTTTACATGGAAGATGGATGTATGTTATTTGCAACCTAGGACACCGCATAAGATAAATTGAACTAAAAATATCAGTCGGTTGGTCGGTTCTTCTTAAATTATTTTCTGAACAACAGTTTTGCATCCGCTTAGCTTACATTGATAGTCATGAATCGTGGCAACGGCCTGTTCCACCAACGACCCAGAACTAAGAGAATAACTTGATTGAACGCGGGTCTCCTCCTTTGTTCAATCGTATTCTCTCAGTCTCTCTTTTCTGCAATTTCCTTCTTCTCTGATCAACTACTTGCTTTTCTTCTCTTAAACTATTTCTCTCTCTCTACTCTACCTAATCTTAAACTAAATCCCACGGGAAACTCCAACTCACGAACGAAAACCACAAAGAATTACAATTTAAACTGAACCTCTATTTATTCTACTTGCTAACTTCACGGTACTTTACACTTGAAACGGCCAACAGCGCCTCTACCGGCAAAGGGAGGAAGGGAAACAAACTAACTCGATGGGAGGAATCGGGCCTCGGTTACCGCCGCCGCCGACAGGGCGCGCTCGGTTCACCGGCTTACACAAAACTCGCAACTTCCACTAATCTGACAAAAATATGCAAATTAGCGGCGAAAACAATTCAACCGCTAATTATTCCGACAATTTCCACGCAAAACTAAACAATTTCGGGACTTACAACTCAAAAATCGGCGGGGTTTAGCACCACGTGCGGCCGACGTAACTTCTCAAACCGGGCAAAATTAACTAAAAATCCAATAAACTCACCAAATAAACGCCTAACCAACACCAGACCAACTCAGGGAACAATTCACACTACCAGAGAACTCGCAAATCTAGGCCGAAATTCGTCCGAAACCCGTCGGCAGCCAAGAGCTCGCGGCGCGCAGCTCTTGCTCCTTCAGCGTCTCAGCACGAACTCTCTCGCTCAACTGCCCAGCGCCAATGAGAGAACGCATCGGTCTGCTTCTACTCGCTTCCAGAAGGTTCCGGCCAATCAGATCGCGAGTTCTCAAATCGGGCCTTATATGGTCATTTTCTCCGGGGATTACCCAAACATGGACGGCGGAGATGACGAGAAACGACAAAATGGGTTTAAATGACTTGAGCGGGCAATTAAACTCAAACCTGATGACTTATTCGGGTCGGGACTGGGACGAGTTGGCCGGCGGCGAATAAAAAGTGAGTCTATTTGCTTTCTTTCTTCTTTCCGGCGACAGCAAAAACACGAGGCGGTTTGTTTACTTTCTGATCGTTCCAATGTTGACCGGTAGATGGCCACGATCCGCCACTCACCGAGAAAGCTCGGCGGACAATCGCGGGCTATTCAAGCGGGCTCTCTCTGGTTCATGCCCCCCAAGTTTTTGTCATATGTCTCGAAGAAACATTTGGCAAAAACTTACTAAAGGAGCTTAGGGCGAGGGAATCGGGTGGATGATGACTTGGATGAATGTAAGGACGACACTCAGCCAATCTCGGGTCAGCCAGGCAGAATGTGCGCAAGGGCAGCTTATCTGGTGGTTCTGAGGGAGGAATCATGTAAGGGGTAGCCCTGCTTGAACGCCTGTCAGACGACTTTTGCAGTCTGACCGCCCTGGATCCCACGTAGGTGTCCGATTGTTTCAGGACACATGGAGCAGTTTGGTTGTCATCAGCCTTGTCTTCCTTCAGAGTGATGTCCGGTCCATGCGGCTCATCCAAGATGTTGCACCTGGTGTTGAAGAGTGTCTTCTGCAGGGCAGGCTCCTTGGCGCGTACAGTTGTTGTCACTTGTGTCAGCAGGCCAAAACCAGAACCAGCATCATCGTCTGCTAGCTTCGCAAAACGTCTCACTTCTGTGTAGTCGTGCTGTAATGAGGCTTCTGTTCCAATGGTCAGCATCTCGTCCTTCACACAATCCTCTAGCGCCAGCTGGTGGTCCTCGTTGATTATTGTGCATGTCTCCGGCTCATAAAACAGGTCACTCAGTCCTAGGTTGACTTCAAGGTCAGATCCAGGATCCACATCTACGTTCCCCATCTGCACCAGTACAGGGTCATCTCCAGGTTCGGGGTCCTTTTCTGGCTCACAGTCATCATTAGGGGGATTGGAGTTCAATTTTTTAATCAGCTGGTTCAGCTGATAATAAGACAATTGTAGGTACAGGGAGGGCTCTTCCTTCCTGAAATAGGCTTGGGGTTTTGGAAACAGTTCCGTTTCACACCTGGGAACATTGGCGGTGTGTTGAGGGGACAAAGAGAGCAATGGATTAGTATCAGAAACATGTTGGTCAGGACGACATAGAGGCTGAAGATCCTCATTCACTGCCAAAGAGCTGGAAACTTTACCATCTAACTGCTCACCTCTACTAACTGCTGCTAACGGCCCCCCATCCTGTGGGTGCTGAGAAAGCTCGGCAACACCTTTCGGAGAACCATCAGGAGTCGCCAGTTCTTGTTGTGTTGATGTCAAAAGGTCACCACTAGAAATACTCTCTGAAGACGTTACTGCTCGGTCATGGACACCAACAGTGTTCTGCGCTCTTTGTGCATGAAGATCAAAGTGAGCACCATGAGCACCACTGTTAGAAACTGGGCTGAAAGGAACACCACAAATGGCAACATTGTCAACAGGAGCACTATGAGCACCAAAATGGCTGACAGACTTGGGCACCATCGGAGCACCAGAATGAGCACCAACAGGGCTAACGTATGAAGAAGCGTCACTATCAAAAGGATGCGAACCATCCTGCAGGCTCTGAGGGAAGAATTGCGTGCGGAAAGCCGAAGCAAAAGTCGCATAGGAATAACCTGGTGGCGTGTACACCTCAAAAGACTTAAACCATAGAGCTGCATGAGCCTCCAGAAGTACCTTCATCATGGACCTGCAAGCAACGTCAATGGAGACGGGAAGATGCAAAGCATACGTCTCAAACTGAGCTAAAAAATCTACTGGGTCAACCACGTCACCAATGCCTTTGAAATGTGGTGGTCGTTCGTGCAGCCAGGAGGACGATGCTGGAGTGTGTGCAGTATTCACCGGTTGGATACCTACAGCGGCCTGTGGAGAGGGCTGAGCACCGCTGGCACCAAAAGCAATATTCCCCTGTTGAGCACCAAAAGTTTGCGGCACCAAAGCATGCGCCGGTTGAGCACCAAAAGTTTGACGAAGGTTGTTGTTCACCATGGAGGCTGGTGTAACATGAGCACCATATGCATTCTGCCCGCCATAAGCATACAGATTGCCGTGGGCTGCATGAGCACCATTAGAATTGGCTGGGAAGGGAACTGAGTGGGCACCACTAAGGTGAAAAGGGAGGTGAGCACCACTTGCTCCGCCAAGCTGAGCACCATTTGGAACCATTGGGACACTATGAGCACGAGCTGAGTTGACAAAGAATGAAACGGCAGGAGGATTACTGTTCACCATTTGAGCACCATTGTGCACCATTTGAGCACCAGGAGGAATTTGGGCTGATTGTGCACCAGGAGGTCCACCAAAATGAACACCATTGTGCACCACTGAAGCAGCATGAGCACCATTTGCTCCGGGAGGGTAGGCACCGCTTGGAATTACAGGGAAATGAGCACCGTTTGGTACCATTGGGGCACCATGAGCAACACCACCAAGATAGGCACCGTTCACCAATGGAGCACCAGTAGGTATTTGGGCTGCGTGGGCACCAGGAGGAAACTGAGCTGCTTGGGAACCAAGAGGTCCACCGTCCAAGTAGGCACCGTTTTGCACCCATTGTAGTTGTTGAGCCACCAGTCGGCGACGTTCCTCGGCAATCAATTGATGAGATAGTTCCACAGGGATCCATTTCTGCAACGGGGTGGGTGGTTCGCTCAAGCGCAAACTATCGACATATGGGTAACATGGAGTCGATTGTGGGACAGGGAAATGGTTTGGAGAAAATACATCCATTGTATTACTCCTTTATTTACAGCAAATTCACACAATTTTTACAAAATGCAATTTCCAATTTTCTAATACTACAAGAAAAAAATTCACTCAAAACTAAAACTCCAAAATTTTCCTACACCTCGCGGTTACTATTTTCTACACTAATAAGGCCCCCAAGGACACTCACAAAGACTTTCCACTAATACCAAAAAGAAATTTCCAAACGCAACCAACTTTCCACTAAAAAGAAAAATTAACACACCGGATTACACCGTGGAGTCACGCCAAACGACGTGAGGCACGACAAGGCCAGGCCCCCAAGTTCTGAATCGTGGCAACGGCCTGTTCCACCAACGACCCAGAACTAAGAGAATAACTTGATTGAACGCGGGTCTCCTCCTTTGTTCAATCGTATTCTCTCAGTCTCTCTTTTCTGCAATTTCCTTCTTCTCTGATCAACTACTTGCTTTTCTTCTCTTAAACTATTTCTCTCTCTCTACTCTACCTAATCTTAAACTAAATCCCACGGGAAACTCCAACTCACGAACGAAAACCACAAAGAATTACAATTTAAACTGAACCTCTATTTATTCTACTTGCTAACTTCACGGTACTTTACACTTGAAACGGCCAACAGCGCCTCTACCGGCAAAGGGAGGAAGGGAAACAAACTAACTCGATGGGAGGAATCGGGCCTCGGTTACCGCCGCCGCCGACAGGGCGCGCTCGGTTCACCGGCTTACACAAAACTCGCAACTTCCACTAATCTGACAAAAATATGCAAATTAGCGGCGAAAACAATTCAACCGCTAATTATTCCGACAATTTCCACGCAAAACTAAACAATTTCGGGACTTACAACTCAAAAATCGGCGGGGTTTAGCACCACGTGCGGCCGACGTAACTTCTCAAACCGGGCAAAATTAACTAAAAATCCAATAAACTCACCAAATAAACGCCTAACCAACACCAGACCAACTCAGGGAACAATTCACACTACCAGAGAACTCGCAAATCTAGGCCGAAATTCGTCCGAAACCCGTCGGCAGCCAAGAGCTCGCGGCGCGCAGCTCTTGCTCCTTCAGCGTCTCAGCACGAACTCTCTCGCTCAACTGCCCAGCGCCAATGAGAGAACGCATCGGTCTGCTTCTACTCGCTTCCAGAAGGTTCCGGCCAATCAGATCGCGAGTTCTCAAATCGGGCCTTATATGGTCATTTTCTCCGGGGATTACCCAAACATGGACGGCGGAGATGACGAGAAACGACAAAATGGGTTTAAATGACTTGAGCGGGCAATTAAACTCAAACCTGATGACTTATTCGGGTCGGGACTGGGACGAGTTGGCCGGCGGCGAATAAAAAGTGAGTCTATTTGCTTTCTTTCTTCTTTCCGGCGACAGCAAAAACACGAGGCGGTTTGTTTACTTTCTGATCGTTCCAATGTTGACCGGTAGATGGCCACGATCCGCCACTCACCGAGAAAGCTCGGCGGACAATCGCGGGCTATTCAAGCGGGCTCTCTCTGGTTCAGTCAATAGCATCAGCAAGAAGTTGAAGGTCCAGCACCACCCCCACCTTCCTTATTCTTGTAGAAATTTTGGAACATGGGTCCATGTCCTGGAATGATGAAGTCGGCTATCTCCAAAATCTTCTTGCGATTTTTCTCCTGCTCCTCAGGATTTTGACTTCCCGCAAGCTCGCGCCAAAGATTTGGGAACTCAATGTCTGCCTCCCTTTCGAAAAGGTCGCCAGTGATTGCAACCAGCCCTTTCTCATCTATTCCAGTTTCAACGAGGACAGTCACACTATCCAGAGTGTGTCCGGGAGTACAGACGACCTTCACCTTTGGCTCAATAAGGAACTCCTTGCCTAGAATTTTAATGGTCTAAAAACCAAATATTTTAAATTTTATTGACACAGACCATCATCCAGAGGGGAAGTGATGTAGCGTTCTCCATAGTTCATGCTAGTGCCCACAATGTGGGTGGCATTGCGAAACAAGTAGTTACCGCCAGTGTGGTCCGAGTGACTATGAGTGCAGACCACATAATGAATGTTTTCAGGCTCGACGTTAACTTCTAAGAATTAAAAAAATTAGAAACTATGAGGAAGATATTACTTGTAAATTACGTACCCTCCTTGAGCAATCGCTTAAGTTTTTCACCATCCCAGGCGGTCATCGTGTCCACCAAAATGTTGAACTTACATCCCTTGATGAAGGTGACAGTGCAGTTGGCATGCATATCCCCATCTTTCAAAAACTTGTAAGAATGGCCAATGTTGAGCACCGAAACCAAAGGAAACATACTTGGTCCGATCATCAGTTATTCTGTGTATTGATCTAGACACGGCAAACGCCTGATATTATTTCTTCTCGGGGTGTTTTGCCTCTTCCCTTGTATTTGTGCCATGTGCGACGCGGGATGCAAGGCCAAGGAGAAGAAGACTTCTTGGCCAAGGACTTGTTCTTTAGAGGACGAGGAGTTTGTATTCTGGCCACCTAGGGAGCTCTTTTGAAAGCTTTTATGCTAAAATCACGAGGTATAAAAGATAAAAATTTTGCTTGTACGGCCGCAGGTATATTATGTCAATCAATAGGAGAAAATGAGTAGTTTTGTCTTTGTCACAATTGGGAACTTTCATGTTTTCTACATGCAAGTATTCAGATTTTTCCAATTTTACTGCAACTTGTTATTGTTGCTTATTCTTCACAACCTCATTGAGTACTTCGATGCATATTTATTAAAAAATGTAGGAAAAATAAATTATGAAAACAAATTTCACTGCTCTGTTGAAAACTACATAAGAAATTTATTGTTATATTTTATGATTTTGTGGCTGTTGGTGCTAATACGCCTTCACAACCTAGGGTACATTTCTATTGTTTCTTACAAAATAATCATGCATGTTTGAACAGAAAATAATAAAGATTTGATGTTAGGAAACCAAACATTAAAATTTGTATGCAAAATATTTCTCCTATAAAGAAGGGAATTGTACGTGGTATATTTAGCAGTCATGGAGTATTGACATATTAAACTAAAAAAAATCAGTCTGATCTTCATTCCTGGTTTCCCAAAGTTTGTTTCAGTCAGCTTTACGTGTAAGTCTTATTTGAGATTAGTCTTAATATTAGTGAGAAGCGGATGGACCAGTACCACCTGCACCTGTTATGTTCTTGTAGATATTTTGGAACATGGGTCCATGTCCTGGAACGATGAAGTCGGCCATCTCCAGAATCTTCTTGCGATTTTTCTCCTGCTCTTCAGGATTTTGACTTCCCGCGAGCTCGCGCCAAAGTTTTGGGAACTCAATGTCTGCCTCCCTTTCGAAGAGGTCGCCAGTGATTGCGACCAGCCCTTTCTCCTCTTTTCCAGTATCAACGAGGACAGTCACACTGTCCAGAGTGTGTCCAGGAGTGCAGATGACCTTCACCTTCGGCTCGATGAGGAACTCCTTGCCTAGAATTTTAATGGTATAAAAACCAAATATTTTAAATTTAAATATTAACACAGACCATCATTCAGAGGGGAAGTCATGAAGCGTTCTCCGTGGCTCATGGTGGTGCCCACAATGTGGAAGGCGTTTCGGAACAAGTAGTTACCGCCAGTGTGGTCCGAGTGGCCTTGAGTGCAGACCACATAATGAATGTCATCGGGGTGGAGTTTAATTTCTAACAATTAAAAAATCAGTATTAAATTATTGAAAGAGGTTGTTAAAAAAAGTTAGTACCCTTGAGCATCCGCTCAAGCTTAGCCCCATCCCAGGCGGTCATCGTATCCACCAGAATGTTGAACTTCAAGCCCTTGATGAAGGTGACAGTGCAGTTGGCAAACATATCCCCAGTTTTCTCAAACTTGTTCGAGTGGCCAATGTTGAGCACCGAAACCGACGGAAACTTCCTCGGTTTTTCCACGCGTTGGCTCACATCTTGGCGCTTGGTTTCTTCTTTAGGGTGTGACCATCTTTCCATGTGCCGATGAGGGCTGCGGAAGCGAGGCCGAGGAAGGTTGGGGTAGTACTCGTCATCCCACTCATCGTTGAGATGATCAGTCAGGGCGTTGTCACTCCAGTCATTTATACTCATAATGTCGGTTGTAAGCTGGAAATTTATACATTTTCATAAATAAACAAATATTTTTGCACATTTTATACATAAAAACAACAAAAAAACACTCAAATTTGTTATATATTCGGTCTAATGGATACATAAATTAATTTTACTTTGCAACGACGTTGTATTCAGTGAGCAATATGGTTGACAGGTAGGAAGCGATTAAACGGCGTCGCGTCGTTTCGATTCGTTCAATGGGGGATAAAAAATCCTATCCTAGTTTCTAGTTCTTTCCAGAAGGTCGCCGGCGTCAGTGTGTTATTTGTTGGTGTTATTTATTTTGGGGGGTTGTTTTGGTTTCCATCGTTTCCGCGCCTGAGTGTTCGAGCTGTACGAGAGGTGGCGCGGGCGAACGGTGCGAGTGGCGGTCGGGAAAGAGGTGGCGGGCTGACGAGGTGGACCGGCCGCAGCGAGCCAACAACACGAACCAGCACCAGCACGGCTCGCTCGCACTTCGCAGACAGACAGACAGGCTCAGAGCAGCAGCAGTGAGAGCCGCGGGCGCACGAGCGTTTGTCGAGTGTGTGCGTCGCCCAGGAAGGAAGAAGGAAGGTGGCCGCTGGATGGACTGGCAGTGAGAGACAAGCGGAAAAAGTGGTGTGCCATGCGCCGCTGAACCTTTGCAGACCAACAATCCAAGTCGTCGTCGGTGTCAGTAGCGCAACAATGGCAAACAACAATAGCGGCGCCGCCAAGAGCTCGAGTCCCGTAGTGCGGATGGACGGCGACTCGGACTCGCTGCAGGCACTGTTCGACTCGGTGCTCAAGCCCAACTCGCAGCGGCCGCTGCAGGTGCCCCTGCGCATGAGGAAACTGCCCGACTCGTTTTTCAACCCGCCATCCAAGGGTTCAAAGTCGGGCTCGGTCAGCTCCATCTCGCACAGCCGCGAAAACAGCGCCGACTCGGCCTTCGGCGCCAGCAGCACCACCCCCAGCTCAACGGCGGCCGGTTCGCCGCAACAGCTGGCGCCGCAGCCGGCGCCGCCACCACCGGCGCTGCAGATCAGCCACCCGAGGGCCCACAGTTCGCCCGCCTCCCTGCAACAGACGTACGCCTCGGCGCACCAACAGGTGCCGTCGGCCTCAGTCGGCGCCCAGCACCTCCGGCAGCGCAGCTACGACATCCTCGGTGACAGCGGCGACGCCCTCGGACCTTTGCCCCTCGGATGGGAGCAGGCCCGCACCGCCGAGGGACAGATCTACTTCCTCAAGTGAGTATACAATTATATAGTGCAAATTTGTTTTTTATTTCTTTCAGACGAGAATCGATCAAATTTTCGTTCGCACAATAAAACTTTCTTGCCTGTCATTGACACCGGATAACCTTGGATTGGCACGGGGATTCCCTTAATCTGGCATGAAATTTAGGCAGTCGACGGATTTGACACGAAGTGTTTTTAAAACCGATTAAACAAAAACTTATTTTTTTTTTACTTTCATCAAGTGGACAATATTTCAAGAAATAATAAGGTTAATAAGCGGTGAAATGTCACAGTCTTTCTCTCCTCCTCATTTCAAATATTAATTAATCTGATAATTGCCAATCGTTCTGCTCTGATAGAATTACAGCTTTATAATATATTATAAAATATCATTCGCCGAGCTCTGTTGAACCGTTTGCCTCCCTTTCGGGGTCAAAGTGAGACTTTTCCTGGAGTCGAAATCACCAAGAGCTCACCAACTCTTTATCTAATTGCTGATCTAAAGGCAATTTGATAAAACATAAATCAATTCTTCCAAAAATGATTGATGTTCAAATTTGACTTGACGTGAACAGATTTAAATTATTTTTTTATATTTTCACTTTCGGACTTTTCTGTTAACATATTCAAAAAATGTAAACTAAATTTTTAATGAGTTAATCCTTAATTTATCAAAATTGTGATTTTTATTTTAAAATTACCAAATCATCAACGATTTGAATATTGCGTGAATAAACAGAAATGAGCACATGTACAGGTCATGCCACAATAAATTACTTCTCTTTCACATTAAAGACTTTACCAGAAATATCAGGTGTTTTCACAGAAATCAATGACGCGCATTATAAAGTAAAGCTTTGAATACAAAATTAGCATTCGCAGAAGCGACCGTCGCGTCAACATACATGCATTATTATCATATTGTTGGTAAAACGCACGTGATTAATTCATGCATTTAAGGAAACTCGATTCGGTTGCTGGCAGCCATTTATTATTTGTACGTATTTTAATGAAAATAACGCTTGCTCGCGACTATTTATATATATTGTGGGAGTGCAGAACACGCCTGCATATAATACTATTGAGCACACAATTACCAGCTAATCCACTCGGAGCTCAAACACGGCGCATGAAATTACTTTCCATCGTTCTCTTTCCCGCGACCAGCGACACATGTATAATTTATTATTACGACCGGCGCGCGCGCGTATATATTATAATAAAGTAATAACCCATTAGAAATCATTATTGTTTTATCGACGATCAAGCCACCGTGGCTCGCCGCGAACGCGATCTCCCGGGAAAATGAAATTTCGCTCCGTAATTGTCTGCGCCGAACAGAAAAAATTATGTTTTCAAACTCGGCGGCGCTTACAATATTATTATGCCACGCGCAACAAATCCCCTTCACTTTTGCATCTATTTTTATGTACATGCCTTTGCTGTGCGATATAATTTAGGACATGTTGTGAGTTAAATTTTGATCCGGCGACCTCGGGTCGACATTTCCTATTCACCTAGAGCGCGGCGTTTGATTCCTTATTGCTTTCGAAGGATTGGACCGAAATCGCAACAAAGAGGCTCTCGTGCTGCTGCTGAACGATCAGCCGCCGCCGAGCTAACGGGTTGATGATGCTGATAAATACAGCTACATCATGCTGGGTGGCCAAAAACTTACATATTTTGCCAGTGGTCAACAAGTGGTCAAGACCACCGTCCCCACAATATCGCCAAAATAGAAAATAAAACAAATTTTGCATTATAATGGACCTACAAATATATTAATTAGTCAGTCAATTGAATTGTTAATGCAAAGGATGAAATAAGATTCCGGTTTTATTTGCTTTTTTTCTAATTAAAACTGGAACTAATTATTAAAAATTAAATTACATATTGTATGGAAAATTTTAAATTTGTAAAAATTCAATTTACGGAACTATTTTGGAAAAAAATTAATGAAAATAAATAATTTTTATCAAATTACTGTACAAATTTTGAAACAGCAGTTTTTCAATACTATAATTATTAATATTTTTTATTCAAACTTGGAGGAAAAACAAACTTGTCATGCTATAGGGGTTCCGTGTGGACATGTTAACAATTTAGCCGTAACTCAAAGGTTTAGCTTCAAGAAGGTGCACCAATCTTCAATCTTTCATCCATCCCAAAGCACCTCATTTAAATACTTGTCCAGTAAACTAGAAATAGTGGAAACAAACCTGGTAGGAAAGCTTTTATAATAAATGGATTCAAGTCGCAAAAGATGAGGATTAAAATTTTCAGTAAAAAATCGCAATTAACAAATTTTGTAAAAATATTTTTGTTTCAAATTGAGAACAGAAAACGTGAAATTCACTAACTTATCAAATTTAACTGTGTAACTCTTTATTTTAATTAAATTGAAAAAGCATCCTCTTTCCATTTTAAGCACCGCAGTAAGCTGTTCAAGTCTTTCTTGTTCGCTCTTATCCAATCTCAGAAAGTAAATGGAACGAGAGGCCACGGCAGTTTTTGACCTTTCCCATGTACTGCACGTTCGTTTTTATCACCCTGTCTCACGCAAGCGAGCAAGTGCAAGAGGCATCTGTTGCACCTGACGGCTCTTTCTCTGCACACCCCAATTGTGTTGCCGCGCTGCCAGCCGTGCGTATTGAAAAGGTGGCATGAAAAATGACACTGCATCAAAAGCGGCGGCGGCGGCGAATGACTCTCACGAAATCTTCAGCCGGCCGCTTTGATTTATCTCGCCAAATACAAATCCGCTGAGGCTCTGGCAAGGTTGGGTCTCTGTGCATCGGCGGCACATTTCCACTCGAGCTGGCAGACCGCGCAGCTGGACCACCTGCAAATCTCAGCCAGCCAAGCGGCCACGAAAGCCTTCCTATCCTATACGGATTGCCATCTCCGACGCGCCGGCATCTAATTGTGCGAATAAAGCGCCGGGTTTCGCGCGAATTGACCAATTGTGCATTAATTTTTTATTATTATTATTGAATTGAGTTTGGTCAGCACTAATTTGTTCCCTAATCAAAATCTATCAAATAATGGCTCATAATAATTGAAAGATTTTTTATTAAAAATTTTAAAATATTTATTCAATAAGATTTGCATTTTAGTCAACAATCAAAATCCTAATGACCAATCCGCTAAATCAAGATGAATTGCATTTAAAAAAAGATAATAAATGATTGGCTTGGTTTTTTCTATCTTCAATTTCATGCAGCTATTTTGGTATATTATATCGCAAATTATGCTCTTTTAATTCCTTGATAATCAAATTCATCTGGAATTATCGTAGTAGGTGGGCTAAATTTTAATCGGCTGGCAGAAACCATTAAAATGTGAAAATTGCCTTCCATGGCCGTCATCTGCTAATGCCCAGAGAACTCTTCCGCCGGTCACAAACTATTCAGCTTGCCATTTTCCCGGTCGTGATAATGGCGAAGCCTTAGAGGCGTTTCAGAATTGCATCTCTCGAGCTGTGAGGTCCCCAGCCCGCGCAGAGAGCGAACGGCCCGTGAGTGTATAAATACGTATAATATTAAAACGAGCATTTTATATATGTATACAGATTTCTATATTATTTTATTTTGCCTCTTCTGAGAGGAGAGAAGAAGAAGGGGGAACTCAGGTAGTAAAAATATAGTGGGCCCGACCGTCGAGACCGTCGACGGACGGACCAGAGATGCAGTCCCTTCTTTTATTATAATACACTTCTTCTCTCCGCGCACAGGTTGTTGTTGTGTGTGTGAGATTTTTCGCTGCTTCTCCCCTGCCCAGCAGCAAACGGGCCGTCAGGATCAGGCAGTGTTGTCATGCAGGCAGGCGAGGGGCAGGTGGAGGGAGGGGAGGAGGCGCGCAGGTAGAGAATACATACCTGAGAGAGCGAGCAGCGAGGATTTGAGCTGCTGCCTGCGTGACCTTGAACCGTCATCACACACAACAGCAGTGGCGGCACCACGTATACTTACCTACACTTCTCACGAGCAAGAAGTTTTACCGCAGCACTGCATAATACTATACTATATATGAGAGCCAATGAGTGGCCTGCAGCATGTGTTTGTACAGGAGCACGCAAAAATTTCAGAGCTCCCTGCTTATTGTGGCGCTCGGCCGTGGCGAGGGTGGTTTTCCCTTTGTGCGACATTTCTCGGGAATTTTACCATTTTTTTTTTTAATCTGCTAATTTTGGCGAGCGGCATGCACCTCTTTTTTTCATTATATATTATTTCGCGGCGCGGCTTTTTATTTTCATTCTCTCCTCTCCGCTGCCGCTCTTTCTTTCTCAACCAACGGTTGCTCAGGAATTTTTCGCTCCTGAGCGACGACTGTATTTACTTACCTGCTGACTGAGAATCACGGCTCGCGCATAATGAAAAGGGCTCGAAATTGTAGGTTTGTCCGGCGAGCTGCCGCTGGAATTTAAATTTGACGAGATGGAGAAGGGCTTCCGTGGCCGCCGTTCGTTATTAAAAGTTTCTCACCCTGCCGCATACCGTGAAACAACAAATTGAATGTTTGTGGGAGGGACGGGTCACTTTTTTGTTGCTGCCTCCAATTAAAAGTTAAGACTACCGGGCGCCACCCTGTTATTACAACAATAAAAAAACTGAAAAGTTGAGAGAGAAATTACTTTAAAAATCTCACTTTTCTTTTCAGGGGCAGACAAAAAAGTAAATGACCAGGAAAATCCGGTTATGTCCCCTCAAAATATGCAACAAAGCGCGCCAAGGAGGAAATAATTGTGATTAATTTTGTTGCACGTAAAGCCTGGCGAGTTCATTTGTCAAGGTGCAGTAGGAGAAAAATGATTTTAAAATCGCCCGTGAAATCTCTGAAATCTCTCGAGTGAAGGATGAGAGGGCGAGTGCCGAGAGCTGTCCATTACCTGCCCGCCCTCCTCCATTTTACGCCGATTCCGAGAAAAACAGGCCACAGGTAAACTAGGCGCAGGAACATTTTTACGACTGCATCAGGGAGCCATAAATCCGTCCACCCACCTGAGCGCG